AGGTTGAGCTTCTCTAAATCACAGAGGGCTCACAGCTGCTTCTCAGTCTGTGGTGCCAGTTAAACAGCATCGGTGCAGTATGCACATATTATGCTGCATTTTGAAGAAAATGGCATTAAAAAAAAAGAAATAATTTACCCAAGTTTATCTAAATTCCTGCTTTGGAAAAAGAAGTGTCTGAGGCCTAGTCCACACGTAGCCAGGTTTTTTTTTAAACGAATATCCGCCCCTCCAAAAACTTGCATCCACACCACCTCGTTTAAAAAAAAAACTGTCCACACGTACCCAGATAAATACGTTGTTAAGGACATGCCAGACCTGTAGGCGGCAGTACTTGGAGAAGCCAGGTGCCGGGCAATAGCCGTTCTTAACCTCGTCCTTCATCTGTGGTCTTCCGCAAGGATCAGTAATTCCGCTTGCAAAAACAAACAAGCAAAAAGCGCTTGGACAATTGATAAAGCGAGCGCAGCTCTGAGGGCATCCATGCTGTCGGCTAGTGTAAACACAGGTCGCACACGTAATGTCAGCATTTTTTGTCGCGGAAAGTGACGTTGCGGACCTTAAAACTCCGGTTTTGTCTGTCCACACGCAAACACCCAAAAGGGAGAAAACGCAGATCTTCACTTTGGCCGGAGTTTTTAAAAAGATCAGTTTTCGTGTGAAAAAACTCAATTTTTGTGTGGACGACAGGCCAAAACGTAGAAAAATATCTACGTTTTGGCAGATCCCCGGCTACGTGTGGACAGGGCCTGATTCTAGAAGAGCTGCGATGTTTGCGATATGCATTCAGCGTGAAACATTATCTCCTGAGAGCTTTTTGATCTCAGGTAAAAGAAACACGGAAATAAGCATCTGCTGGAGAGTTTTCTTCATCAAAAGAGGGGCAGGTGTGTCAGGAAACATGTAGCTCCTCAGCATGCTGCTTCTACATCTCCAGCCGTGTACTGATATGATTTTTGCATCTAAATGAGAGCAAAACGGAAGTCATAATACTTAGTCCTGGCAGAAGAAATGGCTGCTGATATTGGCCTTGGCCCATTGACCCCCTATGAAAAGAAAATAGTCAGTAATTTGGGGGTAAAAATTGACTCCTCACTTAATCTTGACACTCACGTAAATACAGTGGTGAGGTCCTGTTTTTTTTTTTTACCTGAAAAGACTATCCAGGATCAGGCCTCTGCTGTCCAGAGCTCATCTGGAGTCTGTGTTGCATGCTTTCGTCCTGTCCCGTCTGGACTACTGTAACGCTCTGTATGCTGGTCTGGCCCAGTGCACGGTTGCACGGCTCCAGTTTGTACAGAACTCAGTGGCTAGGTTCCTGACAGGTACTAGATGTCGAGATCACATTACCCCAGTGCTGGATGCTCTGCACTGGCTCCCGGTGCAATGCCGAGCTAAATTTAAGATCTTAACTCTTGTTTATAAGGCCCTCCGGGGCAGTGCCCCCTCTTACATTACTGCACTTTTGCACAGGTATGCTCCATCTCGGTCTCTTCGTTCAGCCGAGCAGGGACGTCTGGTGGTCCCCCGGTCGAAATATCGATCGAGGGGTTATCGTGCATTTTCTGTTTTGGCTCCAACTCTGTGGAATGAATTGCCATTGAGCATTAGGCAGGCACCGTCCCTTCAAGTCTTCAAGTCTCGTCTAAAGACTCATTTTTATTTGATTGCTTTTCAGCGCTAGGGTTCTTTGAATTGCCCTGACATTATGGTTTTTACAACTTTTCTTTTGATCAGGATGCTTGATCTTATTTTGTCCACCATTTGTTTTTAATTGATTAGTCTTATTCCGTTATCTCTCTGTATTTTTAATATTCCTTGCTTTATATTTTATGATTTTATGTTTTTATCTTGCTTTTATGCCCAGGTACTGGGAATGTTTTTTATGATGATGCTGTTCAGCACCTTGGGCTTCTGATAACGTTGTGGAAGGTGCTCTACAAATAAAATTGATTGATTGATTGATATGAGATTTCTTTTTAGGCAAAGTGATAATAAGATGCAGGGGCCTCATTTATAAAGCATGCTTATTCACTAAGCAGGGTCTCAAAATTGCATGAGTAATTTTCTACACAAACTTTGTGGTTAAGAAATGACACCATGTTCTTGTGTATGTCTTCAGATTACTTGTTGGTGCATTCATTGTCAGACGCGTGACAGCACATCTGTTAATGTTCCCCGTAGATCCCTGAGCACCACAATACAGCCATTTTGGATGTATCACTGATTATTGCCATCTTCCTCTTTGCCTCCATCCAACCACTTCTTTATTTATGTTTTTTGTTTTTTTGTGCACTTTTTCGTGCCACGGACAAGCACCTCTCGGTTGAAATGGTTACCCGTAAAATGCCACTGATGAGTCGGCTTGTGTATATGCAGACTGTTCATCGAGTCCTTGGCGTTGACCATTTATGGCAGGAAGCGGATGTGTAGGAGGCAGGATATGATATAGGGAGCCTAAGTCATGCCCATCTACTTCTGGACCATGGATCCCTGGAAGAACGAAAAAATGAATGCAAGTCAACGGGGCTAAAAACGCTATTGTCTAATTCCGCTTGTTTTGTGCCATGGATTTCACATATGATGCCCATGAAGTTTAAAGACGCATTTTGATACCAAGAACGCGCTTATTTTCGAACAGGCAGAAACGCTATTTCATGTTTTGTGTGAAAACAAGTCCAGGACTACAAATGCGCTTCACGAAAGTGACGTCATCAAGCCAGACACGGAGAAAACTGAGGGAAAATGGCTGTAAGTTCAGTAAACTTCCCACAGGAGGAAAGAATTCACCATAAATCTGATCATGTGGTAAGTAGCAGCTACGTTAGTGGAGAGGAGATTATGTGGTGACGATTTCTGGTGTGTAGTCAGGCTAATTAGGAACTTTTACAAGCTGATAAATCTCCAAATACGTGACTGGCATGGTCGAAACACCCATCATTACTTTTCATTTAAATTGCAGTACAACATGTGTGCGATCCAGGGCTTAAGGCAAAGCGGATTAGAAAATAGCGTTTTTAGCCCCGTTGACTTGCATTCATTTTTTTTTCTTCCGGGGACCCAGGAGCCGACTAGAAAGGGAGGAGACTTAGGCTCCCTATAAAACACCTGAATTCTAGGATGGGTGTGAATGATAAAGCAGAAATTGCATGCAGCTGTGCGTAAGCGGTGACTTATAAGTCGGACAATTAATTAGCATACTTTTTTTGCTGAGTTTAAAAGCTTCTTTCCGGAGTATTTCTCTCATCCGATGGCACCATCTAGTGGCTGACAAGCATATCACACAAAAAGTCTATCGCTCTGTTTTTTTAAGATGGCGACTTCACGTTTCTTGTTTATAAATGTGCTTCTGTAGCCGACAAACAGAGCTAAAACATGTTGTTTTATGAGTATTATCCTCACGTCATGTTGTGTTCTCATACATTTATATTTTAAAGACTTTCTTGTCCGTGAAAAGTTCATCAACTCTGCATCAGCCGAGGTATTCCTTAAATGTGAAGCATCTAAGCGGTAGTCTGACACTATTGGTTAGTTCTGGTCTGCGCTCAGTCTCCTATTGCACGGAGCTCTGCGGGGCAGGGGGCGTGCTTAGCAAAAAAAAAAAAGATGCATTGCTTATATTATATCACAGTACATGATAAGATAACCACTTTTATGGATTTCTGAAAAATCATGCATCATTTCTGAAAGTGGAAAACTCCGGAAAGCTACTTTAAGTGCGGCTATAGTAAAGCTTCTACACAAAGTTTTATAAATGAGGCCCCAAGTCCTGAGAGCATAAAATGTTTCTGCTGATTTAGAAACGTAATCCTAAACAGGATTACTGAGGAGGGGTGGCTTTGTTTGTCGTCCTGTAACACCTGCAGTCTGTTTCTTCAGTTTGCGACGCACAATCAGACAGCATGTTGAAATTTATAGGCGTGTTCGCTTTGTGAATCTGATTCTGGAAAGAAGCAGATAGCGGGAGGAATAAAGGGGCTATCACTGAGTTATTTAAAGAGCTGTCAGATCCAGAATCAGAGTGGGATTTCCTTTCTAAATCCCAGTGCACCTGAACATGTGCCTCACTCCCAACACTCCCACGTTCAGCTGTTATTGAAAGCACTTTATTAATGAGACGTTTTGTGGGAGATGCTTGTGGGTGAGGTGGATATCATAAAACATGAAGATGTGCGGGAAAAGGGGAGACAAGACAGTGCATGTGCCATTTGTTCTTCCTTAGTGTTAAATGTGAAAACTGTACTGGAAAAACTTTTAAAAAATCGTTTTACATACTGAACATGAAAATAGTCTCCTACACCTATCTCCTGCATTAGCGTCTGATAGAAACTCTAGGATTAGAAAAGCCTGACAGATCTACGTCACACCGTCACTTAACATTCATGGACTCACCCATCTTGGCTCACGACGGGGAAGGCTGTTGTTGGTTTAGCGTCCAGGAAACGGCAGAGAATTTCTTGACTAGAAGCTAACCATTAGCATTAGCAACTCCACCACACAGCAGAGCTCCTCCAGGCTTGTGTTATTTGTGGAGATAAAACATCAGCTTTGCAGAGCAAACAGAGTCGGTGGCAGAGTCACATTACTGTTAGCCAATCAGAGGAAAGATGTCCAAATATCAGGAAATAAGACTCTTAAGTCCTGCCGTCTGAAGTTCGGCTGTGATGTGGCTCACTCCTAGTTCCTGAAACGGGTGCACCAGAGCGTTTTTCCCCAGAGTACAACTCACAAGGCATTCATTCCTACTAGAGACCACTTCAAATGTACTAATTAAACAAGTGTTCAACGCCGTTAACGCCATTTGGTGAAAATGTAACACGGTTGGCCGGCACGGTGGTGCAGTGTGAGCCTACGGAGGACCTCATATTCAACTATTTCCTCATGGATACAACACAATCAAAGTCTCAGTGAAATGATTACATTCTTCCCCTAACTGGGCCTGTTACACATATAAATTATTAAAGACTTTTTGTCTAATCCTCTGAGTTGTTTCTCTGCAGGACCCGAGGTCAAAGCACAAGTTTAAGATCCACACCTACTCTAGTCCAACTTTCTGTGACCATTGTGGCTCGCTTCTCTACGGCCTCATACACCAGGGCATGAGATGTGACCGTATGTACACTCTCACACACACACACACACACACACACTCATATCGGATCATACTTGTGGAAATCACTATAATTAAATGTATTTACGTCATATAAAAGATCTCATATGTCGTTTTTGCAGACTGTATGATGAACATCCACAAGCGCTGTGTTCCCAACGTGCCCAACCTGTGCGGGACGGACCACACTGAGAGGAGAGGTCGCATCGAGATCAGTGCTGAGGTCAAGACTAACGTTCTGACCGTCACCAGTGAGTTTACACCAACAACACACACACACACACACTTGCAAATATACGAGCTCAGAAGGTTTAGAATGCCTGTGGTTTGTCTCCCTCTGCTGTTAGACCAAGAGAAGGTGAAAGAATTGGAATTCTTAAAGGATCGTGAACGTTTAGTTGGCTTTACTTGCAGATTTCCTCAAAAAAAATTTTTTTTTACACAATCTTTGTTTCTCAGTGCAGATCCAGTTAATTCCAGGTGATTTTTAAGCTAAAACTCAAATATTAGTTTTTCTTGGAAATGACAGCGGTGATTTAAATTTAAATATGAAATGATATATTTTCATATTTTGTCTTACGCCAACATTTCTCAGTTTAATTTTCTTTTCTTGTTAGAAGCATTTACATGGAAGGAGAAAGAACCAAGTTTGTGGACATGTTTAGTTTGTGTGGATAGTGGCACTGTTGTCCTGCAGCGAGAGTTGCAGGTTCAAATCCCAGCAGTGGCCCTTCTGTATGGAGCTAGAGAGTTCTGTCCGTGCATGTGTAGAGCTTCCGGTTACCTCCTCATGGACAAGAACATGCGTGGCAGGGAAAAGGGAGACTCTAAATTGTCCGCGCGTGTGTGTGTGTGTGTGTGTGTGTGTGTGTGTGTGTGTGTGTGTGGGTGTGTTTAGGTTACGCCGCCGTGTTTGTGTTTAAAAGCAGATTTACCATTGCAGCTTTAATGCAATTAACATATTACATTGCATTAGCTGTTCCACATTTTTTTAAATCAAGGTCTCTACTCGTTCAAAACAATGGGATTAAAATTCTGGACTTGGAATCAGGTCTGGAAAATCAGAAAAAGATGTATTTTTATCAGGGATGGTCCGACCCAATCACGTTATTGGAAATCGGGTCAGATCACGTCATTTTTAGGAAATCGGAATTGATGGAAAAACAATGGCATGATCTGCTGTCTCTTCCCACCTTTATAAACGTACCAGCTCTACAGGTGTTTTGTAGAAAAAGGTTACTCTGCTGCTGACCGCCATGTGCCGTGCCATCCCTGCTGCTAACAGCCCCACACTGAGTAAACGATTAAAAATATGAGCGACAACGAGGGACCGTTGCTCTGGCTTGGGTCACCAGGAGGTCACCTCATTTGTTTTAGATAAATGTTTACGTAAAAATTCTGTTGCAGATTTTTTGCTGATGAAATTTAAGTTAAAAAATTCTAATAAATAATTTCACGGAATAAAAATGACTGAAGTCATAATCTGGTGTGACCTAGCACACACTTTTATTTGCTCATAGGCGTAATGTCATTTCCGTGGCGTGTTTATCCTTCCCTTTGTCTAGCTTGAAGGACTGCTGTTATTGCGTCTACTAGCTCAAACCTGAGTTTGGGATTAAATTCTGCAGCTGAATGACTGAAAACCAGGATGTTACTCAGTAGAAACTTTGCTTTAAGAAACAAGCAAACACTATTTATTGTAATATTTAGATGTTATTTATGTAGGATTGAATGACACTTGTGTAAGTACCACAGAACTATCTTTTAAATCTGAAATCTAACAGCGATCTCATAAAGAAAACTCAATATCACAACTATATTTTATCTTTCACTTCTTGCAATCAAATAGGTGAATATTTCTTTATTTGAAAAATATTTTTGAACACAATCAAAATACAAAACACTCATTTTTCCTCCTTTACATGCAGTTACATATTTAACCAGCAGGTGGCAGCATATGTCAACATTAAAGCAGTTGATTGCTTGAACTGATTTTACATTTGTTGCTGCTTTGTCTAAAAGTTGTAGAGCATCATCTGTTCCTCCTAAATAACTTTCTTTAGAAATTATATATGTTCAGAAAATGAACTTGAGCCTTTTCTCATGCAGCAATGAATTGTGGGTAATACACTTCACCCAAGTCCGCGTCGATGCAGGCTTGGGTGAAGTGTGGATCAAATGTGCAAAGTGGAAGTGGAAGTGCGAGTATTGGGACTGGGCCCAAATGTATTTTAGACCCAATTTTTTGGTTATATGTTATGTCGCCGCCAGTATTTTTCAACAGCTTTTTAATTAATTTCCAACAACTTGATGGATATTTCTAGAGATTAATGGTATAAACTACTCTTAGCTCTTTAAAACACAGCAAAGTGATCGGGATCAGAATGTGCCACTTGGGGTAGACCTGCTGCTAGTTAGCGTGCTTCCTGGTCTCCTCCCTTGTGAGGTTTTCTGGGCACGTCCAACCGGGAAGAGACCTAAAGGAAGACCCAGGACACGCTGGAGGGACTATGTCTCTTGTCTGGCCAGGGATTCCCCGTTGGAGCTGGCCCAAGTGACTGGGAAGAGGGAAGTCTGAGCTTCTCTGCTTAGGCTGGTTCCTCCATGACCAGACACAAAAGCGGATGAAAATGGATGGATGTATGTTTGTAAAGTCAAGTTAGATTTTACATATTGTCCTATGATTGTATAAATTATAGGTTTACCATGTTTTTTAGTAACAAATACAAAAAACGTCCTCACCAAAGGTCGATCCAAATTATAACAAACGAATAGGCAAGATGATCTTTTGAAGAGTATGATCCCTGTTTGACACCGTTCTGGGTTCCCACGCTCACAGACTGATCATCAGCTCCTCGTTACTGTAGGAAATGATAAGACAAGACACACTCTCGCCCTCTTTCTGTTTCTCTTTTTGTGTGCGTGTGTGAGAGAGAGAGGCAGACAGAGTGAGAGAGAGAGGGAGAGAGACACACACAAAGAGAGAGAGGGAGAGAGAGAGAGAGAGAGACAGAGAGAGAGAGACAAAGAGAAAGAAAGGGACAAATAGAGAGAGAGAGAGAGAGAGAGAGACAAAGACAAAGAGAGAGAGAGACACAGAGAGAGAGACACAGAGAGAGAGAGAGACAAAGAGAAAGAGAGGGACAAATAGAGAGAGACAAAGAGAAAGAAAGAGAGAGAGAGAGAGAGAGAGAGAGAGAGAGAGAGAGAGAGAGAGAGAGAGAGAGAGAGAGAGAGCAGTAAATTCACCCAGAGCTACAATGCAGCAAGGAAAATTGAACTCACATCATTTAAACTTCCCAAAAAATAGTTTTTAATTAACAAAACTAACCTGTGAGTTTCTATTATGGCACAATAACAGTAAATATAATGCTTTTGTGCTCATTTGGTGATGAAGGTTTTAATGTATGTGACGATCTCAGCAAAACTGTTAAAAGCCGCGGTAGTACTCAATCTTTTCCACAGGGAGCAGTGTGGAGCCACTAAATCTGTTCCTGCCATGGGTGATTAAAAAAAACAAGTAGCTGCTGTTGGGAATGAACAACAGAACCATCAGGAATTGTACCACAGCTCAATGAAGCATCATCTGCTCAAAAATAGCTGCTACAGTTAGATGCATAGTTGATATTATTTTATTAATAATAATAATAATAATAATCCACTTGCTTTTTAAAGTATACGAGTGTTGACCCTTCTCTCCATAGCAGCTTTAGACACATCTCCAAGATCTTGGAAAAGGTTGTTGCTAAACAACTCACAGCTGCTCTTGATGAACATAACATCTATGGTTGCTTACTGTCAGGTTTTCGTAGAGCTCATTCTACTGAAACAGCTCTTCTTAGTGTTTCTAATGACCTTCTGACCCACAGTGATGCAGGGGACGGTTCTGTTCTGGTCCTGCTGGACCTGACTGCAGCCTTTGACACTGTTGACCATTACCTGCCACTGGAGAGGCTGAGAGATTGGGTAGGCCTATCAGGAACTGCTCTGGAGTGGTTCTCCAGTCTGTCTGAGCGTTCCTTCTCTATGGTCGTCTCCAAGTTTAGGTCTTCCACCACCTCCTTCACCCACGGTGTCCCTCAAGGCTCTGTGCTGGGGCTACTACTTTTCCTCTATCTGATTTCTCTTCAGCACATCCTGTGCTCCTTCAAAGGAATCTCCTACCATCTTTACGCGGATGACATCCAACTGTACATCTCCTTTAAGCCCCATGAGATGTCTAAGCTGCAGCTGTTACACACCTGCTTAGACTCTATTAAAACCTGGATGGCTGGGAACTTTCTACAGCTGAATGAAGATAAGACTGAGATCTTCATCTGTGCCCCAGACAAGCTGGTTCTCAGGGTTCTCACACCAAAGCCACTGTCAGGAATATTGGTGTGACCTTTGACCCAGCTCTCACCCTGGATTCTCATGTCAGTTCTCTTGTTCGCTCTTCCTTCTTCCATCGCAGGAACATTGCTAAGCTGAGTCCCATTCTGTCCCGCTCTGAACTTGAGACAGTTCTCCACACCTTCATCTCCTCACGCTTAGACTACTGTAACTCTCTTTTCACGTGTCTGAGCAGAACCTCCCTGAACCGTCTACAGGTGGATCAGAATGCCTGTGCTCGGCTTCTGACCAAGTCCTCCAAACACACCCACATCACCCCACTTCTCCTCCAGCTTCACTGGCTGCCAGTCAACTTCAGGGTTCATTTCAAGATCCTGGTTCTGGTCTATAGGGCCTTACATGGACAAGCACCATCTTACATTGGTGATCTTCTCAGTCCCTACACCCCCAGCAGGTCCCTTCTTTCTTGTAATAAATTTTGAAAACAGAACCTTTTCTGGACTTTATCAGCCTCAGTGGTTGACACTAGGACATCGATTACAGTCCAGAGGCTGACTGATGTTGGTTTTTCTATTTAAGACAAAGAAAAAGACACTTTTTTTACATATCTCCTCTCAAGATAAAGATCATGAGGCACTTCACAAGAACAAAAAAAGAAGAAGATAAAATATTTATATACATTTATCAAGCTGACTGATGTATCGGGCCAACCGATATGTCGGTCTACCCCTAGTTCAAATTAAACTACTACGTACACAAGATGCTTTCTCAGCACATAGAAGAACCTCCAATGAGGCTGTACCACCATCATAAACCATTCTGCTGCTGCTGTCTCCATAAGCACACCTCCTGCACTCACACAGCTCTACACACACCCCTGCATGTCCTTCTGTGACCAACAACCTACAAACATAAATCC